GTGACTTTACTATAAAAATCTTACTTCTGAGAAAATCTTGGTCTCTGGACACTTCAATTTGTAGAATGCTCTCATCTCTTGGGTACTGAATCGGCTGCTTGCAGATAACGCCTGCATTTGTATCAGAGACATCAACCTCTTCCCGCTGGTTGCCTGAAGCAATGGCATAATCTTGCATTGTTTTGGTAATCCATTTGTATAGCTTAAAAAAATATAATAAATAATTTTTTGTCACATAATTGAACTTAATGATATCCAATTAGCATGAAAAAAATAATGATAAAAAGTGAAATTTTAAACAATCCCAATAGCTCGGAGAATATATTCGTCGTGAATCGAGCATAGGCTATAAATTACGCACCAGTTACGTAGGCGCATACCTGGCTACTTTTTATTCCTGAGTAGAATTATTATAAGGAATTTAATTTCGTATAAAAGTACATGAAGAAGAGATTCGAAGGTCAATCTCACCAGAATATGACGGTTGATTCCAGTTGTGCTGCAGCCATTTGGATTTAATACGGTGTTCAGTTTGACGAGGTCCTCGAGACATGTTTCCTCGTTTCGAATGAAAACTGGCGGAGTTTTCTTCCATCATATGATGAACGTCATCAGTGCTCGAACTCATTCTTGTAAAAGTCTCATGTTAACACTACGTCAAGAAGACTATCCGGCTTTATCTTACAACTTATATAGACTCAGTTAGACTAAAGAGAATTAAAAGACCTAGATAGATATAGAATGGTTTGGGCAATTATCCTTCATATTGGTAATGTGAGACATCCTTCCTCATTTCGAGTGAAATCAGGCGGAGCTTTCGTCCATCATATGATGGGCATCGTATACATTTCCAGACGAAGACTAATTGGTTAAAGATTCGAAAACTGAGACCCCTTCTCATGCTCTAATTTTGCCGTTATATCTTCTTTCTAAGAAGATATGCGAATAAGTGAGAAAATGAGGATAAAAACAATTTTGGTTCGAACTTGTTTTCGCAACTTGGTCGTAGCGTCAGGGAGACCTTGTGGAACGTACCTAGTCCCGTGTCCTCTGCCATTGTATTCATAATTTCCAGCACTGGACCATTGGCTGGGTACCTTCCCAAAAGTTTAGCCGGTATCGCCGGTGAGAGACGCCATTGTCAGCGCATGGTTACAACTTACCAAAGTGACAAGTGATGGCAATCCCCTTGACTAATTTTCTGTTCAACCGTTGTGGCATCACTCCTTCCAGTGCCGCATCTATTTTTCTCAACCCAACTTCATATAGAAGTTGTTTGAGCTTGTTTTCGTAACTTGGTCATATTAGTAGGAAGACTTAGAGGAACGTACCTAGTCCGGAGTCCATTGTATGCATGATGATTTCGAAAGTCGGACCGTGTACGTGGTACATTCCCAGACGTTTCGCCGGCATTGTACATACATACATCGTGCATACAATGGACTCCGGACTAGGTGCGTTCCTCTAACTGATTTTGATGCTTAGCAGTGACCAATTGACAAGCGGGTAAGAAAAAAAAGGGGGCGCAAAATGTAGGCCAAGAGTCCTGCAAACCGCGCCTGGCAGCGTTGGTGATAATTACGCTTCAGTAAACCCACTTTTAGCGACACATTCTTAGGCGACATTGGAGGAACGGAGAGCATAGAATTGTGGGAATAAGTTGATGGGCCAGTCCTTCATCACCTTAAGCGAAATAGAGTGAATACATCTCATATTACATATGAAGTGGGGTTGAGAAAAAGAGATGTGGCACTGGAAGGTAGAACATAAAATAGGGGCGAGGGTTGATGCCACAAGGATTGAACAGAAAATTGGTCAAGGGGATCGCCTTCACTTGTCACTTTGATAAATTGTAACCATGTGCTGACGATGGCGTCTCTCACTGACGATACCAGCGAAACGTTTGCTAATGTACCCAGCCAATGGTATAATGCTGGAAATCACGAATAATATGGCAGAGGACACGGGACTAGGTACGTTCCACAAGGTCTCCCTGACGCTCCGACCAAGTTGCGAAAACAAGTTCGAACCAACACCCCCTCTTGGTCTTCATATCTTTGTTAAAATCAGTGTTTGAAAAATTCCTCACACTTTTTTCTGCCTTATCATCTTTTATAGAGAAATATGACGCATTATCGAGATCTCGATGCAACAAGGTCGTGTGCTCCTGCTGTCTACCTTATGCTGGGGAGAAATGCCGGCCTATTCGACAAAGATTGGGGGAGCACAAAAATGCCTGTAAAGGATGCTGTGTCCAACGGTCAGAAGTGGCCGAAAACATGGCAGAGAATTGACGTGAGATAGAATAGTCTCAAACGAGTAGGTTTGCTGATTATGTTACATCTGATGTTAAAAGGAAGATAAGCGAGGATAAATAGATTAGGGAATACATTGAATGCGATGAACGCTGGTAGAAAGTTGAGTAAAAACTCCTTATTGATTGATATATTTGGAGGGTGAGAGAGAGGGTTTTGAGCCACCATCCAAAAGAGGGCTCCTAACTTCACTCACACTCGTCCAATATGTTAGATTAAGCTCATCAACCGAACCAGACGTTCAAGATTACGCCTTAGTCATGCCTTTCCTTTGGTAGTTGAACTTTAATGACCTCAGACTAAGAGGTTAGGAAAAGTGGTTTCGTAGATTAGGTAAAGAAAATTTGGGTTTCAATTAATCTCTCGTTTCATATTTGTTGAGCTTACTTCCATTGCGAGTAAAAGTGTTTGGTGAAGAGATTCGAAGGTCGATCCTACCAGAGGACGGTGGATTTCTCTTGACTAGCTTTACTGGAACTTCAAGAAGAATGTCCCGGATAAATCCAATCAACAGGTGGTAAATAGGAATCCGCATCGTCTTCTGGTGGGATCGACCTTCGAATCTCTTCACCAAACTCTTTCACTCAGAACGGAAGTAAGCTCAGCAAGTGGTTTCGTAACCTGAATTACACAGTTATAACCATACTTGGTCATGAACTCATGCAGTCTTGATCAGGGCTTTTTCTTCGGCCATTAAACCTTGATAACCAAAGAAGTGGGTTGACCTCGTTGTCGCAACTTGGTCTTGTGTTCAGGGAGACTATGTAGAACGCACCGA